TATGATCAGACTGACATTGTTTGAATCCCATCTCTTGAACTGCCATGTGAAACTTATTGAACCAGGCTCTGGGAGACTGTTTTAAGCCATAGAGAGACTTCCGTAGCTTGCACACCTTATTTTCACTCCCCTTGGCACAAAATCCAGGAGGTTGAACCATGTATACCTCCTTCTAAGTCACCATTCAGGAAAGCATTCTTTATGTCCAGTTGATGCAATTTCCAGTCAAAATTAGCAGCTTAGGATAGGAGAACCCTAATCGAGTTCATCTTAGCCACCGGGGCAAAAGTCTCATCATAGTCAACCCCATATACTTGTGTGTACCCTTTGGCTACTAGTCTTGCTTTGTACCTTTCAACTGTCCCATCTGCCTTGTGCTTAACTGTGAACACCCATTTGCACCCCACGGGGTCTTTCCCCTTTGGAGGATCCACCAATACCCAAGTCTGATTTTTGTGGAGGGCATTAATCTCCTCCTTCATGGCATCTACCCATTCAGGGCATTTTAAGGCTTTTGCAACATTTTTGGGAACAGGGATGCAATCAACTAGCGATAGGAAGGCTCGGTACAAGGGAGAAATGTGGTCATAGGAGACAAAGTGGGTAATGGGGTGTTTGGTAGTGCARGACCTGACTCCYTTTCRTTGGGCAATRGGRATGTCAAGGTCATCCACAGTAGGAGTAGGGTTAGGGGGTGGACTTACCTCTTGGGAGTCTGATGATGTCAGTTGCTCAGTGTTTGGTTGCTCCACATTTCTATCACACCGCTAATCTCTCCGACGTGTACTTTGGAAGACATGGAAGGGAGTAAGGTCCGGAATAGAAGGAAGAGATACTTGAACCTGCTTCTCCTCTTCCACACTACGATTCTCCCCCTGAGGAGGAGGGAAGAATGGCTCGGACTCAAAGAAGGACACGTCCATAGACACAAAGAATTTATGACTAACTGGGTCAAAGCACCGATACCCTTTTTGAGAGGAGGGGTACCCCAGAAAGACACAAGGAATGGACCGAGGGTCTAACTTACCTCAGGATGGAGACAAATCATGGACAAAGGTCCAACAACCAAAGACTCTCATGGGGATGGAAAATAAAGGAGACTGAGGGTACAATAACTGATGAGGGGCCATGTAGTTCAATACTTTGGAGGGCATGCGGTTGATGACATACGCAGCTGCAAGTATAGCATCCACCCAAAACCTTTTTGGGACATTAATGTGTAACATCATCCCGCGGGCTACTTCAATAAGGTGTTTGTTTTTCCTTTCTGCAACACCATTTTGTTGTGGTGTTCTGGCGCATAAGCTCCTATGAATAGAGCCATGGGAGGCGAAGAACTCATTGAGCTCCCCATGGAAGTATTCCTTCGCATTATCAGATTGAAAGATCTGTATTTCAACATGGAACTGCGTAAACACCATCCTCTGGAAGTTTTTCACTGTCTTCGGAACCTCGTCTCTGCTACGCATAGGAATTACCCATGTATAGCGAGAGTAATCATCGATCAATGTAAAAAAGTACTTATATCCGCCCTCAGAGATTACACTGGTAGGCCCCCATACATCAGAATACACAACATGAAAAGGAACATTTGATCTTTTATTGCTTGAGTGAAAAGTTGCTCTACATTGTTTGCTCAACTGACACGTTTGACACATGAACTCTGACGCTGAACATGACTTATATAAAACTGGAAACAAACATTTTATTATTTCGAAAGAAACATGACCTAAACGACTATGCCACAAGAAAATTTGACTCTTATTTGACTGACTATGCGACTCTGAGGATGACACCGAGAGAACAACTTTGTTGCCGAGAATGTAGAGACCATCCACTAGGCTTCCTCTACCAATCGTCCTCTCAGAAGTTAGATCCTGAAAAACACATGAGTCAGCAAAAAAAGTCACACTACAATTCAAGGAGCTTGTAATGCTACTAATTGAAAGCAAGTTTATGGGAAGCTGAGGGACATGCAATACACAGTTCAGGTTAAGGCCATGGGGAAGGGATATTGATCCTTGGCCTGCAATGGAAGAAAAAGAACCATCTGCAAGTCTCACTCTATCCYTTCCTGACAAAAGGCTATAAGACTGGAATAAGTTAGGCTTACCGGTCATGTGGTTGGAGGCCCTTGAGTCAATGATCCAAGGGGAATCTGTGGGAGTGACATGGAATGCAGAAGCCATATTACCTGAAGTAGATGCAAATGAAGTAGAGGAAGTACCAGTGACTGAGCTGTCCATTTGCCGCAAGGCCCTACCATAAGATTCTAGGTGCTCTCTGAATGAAATCATTATATCCTCATTGGGGTCAAACTTATTAGGGTGGTCCCGGGTACTACCGGCAACTTGAGTGTCTTGAGTTGCCACATGTGCTATGCTCATTTTCTTCAAATGACCTTTACCCTGTTCTTGGTTCTTTGCTGCCCACTTGGGTTTCCCATGGATGTCCCAACAAGTGTCACGTGTATGTCATGAACGCTTACAGTAGAATAACTTATCTTTATCATCCGCCTTCTTAGGGTCACTTTTCTTTCCTGTGGAGCTCCTATTTATTGCAGCCAAGGCAACTTGTTGCTCCCCCTCAGCTGTAACCATCACATTCCGCCTGCTTTCTTCAGATTGGACAAGGGAGTATACCTCGTAAACCGTAGGCAACTCTTTGCAGGGTTCAGTCCCAACAAGAAAGCAAACACCCGTTGCTGAGAGACCAGCTTCCTGTAGGCCTTAGCATCATCATCGTGCTTCCACTCTATGGCTCGATAATGGTCCAATTCCTTCCATATGGAGGTAAGGGCTGAGTAGTATGAGGACAAGATACAATTTCCCTGTTTACATGTTGAGGATTCAGCTTGCAACTGGTAAACCTTGGCGTAATGCCTTTGCTCAGAATAGGTAGTTCTGCCTTGTTCGCTGATCTCACTGGCGGTGTCTGCCCACATAAAATTCTTTTTCACATCAGGTTCCATGGCTGCGAGGAGCCAAGACATCACCATACTGTTTTCTTGGTCCCACCTATCATGTTCAGCCGTCTCACCCTTGGGTTCTTTCACCCTTCCATTTATGTAACCAGCTTTACCCCTTGTCGTTACATAGAGTTTTACACTCTTAGCCCACTCCAGGTAGTTCAGACCGTTTAAAGGGGTAATCAGCATGGGAAAAACCATGTTTTCACCTCCCATACCCGCTGTGCTGCGGGTTGGTGTAGCCCCCGATGAAATTAATTCATGACTTGCCATTGAATACTACTGAAAACCAGTCCAAATACCACACAACAACACAGCCGCCACAATCAGAATGTGTGCAACTCAGGGTTTACTCCTAGAATGTGAGCAAAAGAACATTAAATATTGCTGAAAACACAGGGAATACTGCTGAGAACAAGGGGTTCAGTCAATAC